CGTCGGATGAGATTAAAATGTTGATTATAAGAAAGATTGGCGGCCTGGTTTTGTTTTCAATGTATCTCTACTGCTATTATATCTCTATTGAGGTATAGACTGAATGAGTAACGGTAAATCAACGTAGCATTTTGGGACTCTTGAAATGGGCTGAATATTATATTGAGACGTTTCTGTCCTTCAAATTATATTTTTTGACTTTTGACATTTTGTATCATCCAAGGTTTGACCAGCTTCTTTCCTCTTTTAAAAGATACAAACGTATGGATCATTAGCCACTTCCAAGATATGCCAACAGGCTGGAGTGCGGTCATAATATAATACTAATATGCTACTAATATACCATGGGGAATATGTTCACTGAAATTATAGCTACACAATTTGAGTAAGTGACGAAGCTTCAGTATTCAGCCCACACATTGTCTCAGATGTTAGGAGAAAAAGTAGTTAATTCAGTCCAAAGTACAAAAGACAGATGCTGGGCTGGCTCCAGAAGAGGTTATGTGTGTGATAAGTGCCAGAGTTCACGGATGTCCCATTAATAAACATCAGTATCAGTACATTTTAAGTTATTTAATACTTACAGTTAGAAAAATAAACTCGGAGATGAATCAGCATCAGATTCAGACCAGCTCAATATTTAAGTTCAAGAAAGCACACTGCTTTTCCTTTGGGTCACGATGGGTAACTATAAACAATCATTGGCCACATTGTGTATACAGATCCACAGATATACACAGTAATCAAAGTATAGGTTGTTTTCTACATTCTCATTAGGGCTGTGAGTCTGATTTTAAATGAAGTCAAACATAGTTAAGCAGAGGCAACACAATCAGACATCTGCCAAATATAAAAACAAAACTTATTCCCATTAAATGTAAAAAGGGGCCAGCACCCGCCCATCTGTTGTGGGATTTCCCCTCGGCAGAACACAGGCCGCTCCGCTCTCTTTGAGGAAGGCTCTAATTTGGGTTTGCACTGATGAAGCTGTCCATCCCAGCTCCAGGACTGCTCTCAGTGGGAGCGTGTGTGTGCGTATGTGTGTCTGTGTGCGTGCATGTGTCTCTATGTGTGTGTGAGCGTGTGCGTCTGTGTGTGAGGGGAATGTCTAATCTTACGGAGACGGTGATTCAGAGGCGACGTCAGCAGGAGAGAGAAAGGGATGGGGTGACATGGAATTACAGTCTCAGGAATCCTCTCTGTCAACAATTAACGGGAGATCAGTGCAAAACCAGTGTGACGTAGCATTGCATGAGCTGTGTAAGGAAATTGATTCAATGAACACAGTAAAACCAGTGCATTTGGGGAGGAAAACGCAGTCAGAACATAACTACATGCATTATACTTTATGTTAGTAGGTTATAAACGAGTTACAGTAACAATAGTAAATGTAGAAATCACAAAATGCCATAGTAAAGAACATTTCTGTCACAATAAAGTGGTGTAATTAATTGTCTCTGTTAGCAATTCTTCATTGCTGGTTTAATGTTGGTAAAATATCTAGGGCTGACAAAATGAGATCGATTATAATAATGTTGTCTTAGATTTTAAATATACTTCAAACTGTTGCACATCAGAACTTATTTTTCGCCACTTTTTTCACACAGAAATGTTTCTGGGTTGTAGCAACACTGAAGGCGATTCTGATTTAATATCATAGGCTTATTTTATTATACAAACCATACTTAAAATGTGTATTAAATATGCAGCTTACGATATAAAAACTGTGAATAGATTACTAAATGTATCAAAAATAACAATCAATCGAATACTATTCTCTTTATAATCTTAACATTTGTATTTTTAACAGGAAAAATACACACTCTCCATCACAACTGATAAATGGAGAAAAAACCTTGAGTTTGAGAGGACAGGCCCAATGACCCTGACGAGCACACCCCACTACCCCAAGAAAGAAGCTGTCACAATACAAATAACCACACATTCTTTATGGCAAATATAAACTGGTAATCATGTGTTCTGACTGGATCTACTGTATATTGAATTGCACCCAACAAAGGAGCTTAAATCATCACTGGTTTAAAACAAAATATTAGTTATGTAATATCTTTTATTATATATTAATGGTCTGTGTTTTCCTATCCCTTTCTACTGCACATATACATGACATTATAGCCCCTTACAAAGTGAATACATAGAATCAACTGTACATCACTTATCTGGCGCTGTAGACCAAAGTAAAGGCATCTCACCCTTCCCTCCCCAGACACTCACTTGGGGGAGAGGCCAGATCACTCCCAGCCCCTCTGAGGGTCTGCCCCATGGCCCGCTGTCCCAGGACTCTCCTCTGTCTGTGTTCTGTAAAGACCACTCGGGCCGATCCCTGAAATGTCAGCCTACAATTCAAAAACTATTGATCTGAGCCATCATGCAAGAGAATCGCTCTGAGAAAAACAGGGCTAAAAATGATGAACAGAAGAGAGCATTGAATAAAATGATCAATATTTAGTATTCACCATTTAAGGTATATGCAGTAATGGAGAATATGTATTTTTATTTTTATTTAGCAACAAAAATGACAAAAACAAAATGACTGTGTTTTGTTCTAGAACCATTAATAACTTCTGCTGTTACAATGTCGACTCATTCAATGCCGGTCTTGCAAACTCAACTCACAACTAGGAGATATGATATGTTTTGTCATAATGTGGAATATTATAGCCCTTAAAGAATAATGTGTACATGGAAACAAGCAGGAGCTCTCCACCAGGACAAGTCAGCTCTGTACACCTGCTCTAAGTACAGACACATGTTTATTCATCTTTCAGGAGATTAAATACATTTTAAAACATTCAATCTATCAATCAAATGTGTTTGTATAGCACAATTCATACGACACGCAACGCAAAATGCTTCACATGGACATGGGCTTCACATCATTTAAAACCAACAAACAGACAATTAAAAACAAACTGTAAAACACACACAAAAGACAACCGTTTACACTTTACAACATAAACTGAAATATAGCCGGGGAGCAGCCTGTCTCACTCCTTCAGGAAGATTTGTTTCAGATTTTAGATACATAGGTCTGGAATGCTGCCTCCTCCATGTTTAGTCCCATCGCTGGTCTGACTCTTGGCACCAGCAGGAGGTCAGTCCCTGTGCTCCTCAGAGTCCAGGCCGGTTCATATGGCACTAACATGTCACAGATGTACTTTGGTGCGAGGCCATGGAGAGACACAAGCAGAAATGATTTAAAGTCTCTTCTTTGAGCCATAACAGTGCAGAGACCTGAGAACTGGACTAATGTGATAATACTTCCTGGTTTTAGTCAGTTACTTTGATTGAGTTTTCTTGCCTGTGCATTTCACAAATCTATAGGTCCATAATACCATTTAACTCATCAACATTACGTATTTGTGAATGGCAATGAGCTATAGCTTTATGACTGACAGCCTCCGTCACAACTACGAGTTTGCACGACAAGCAAACTCCCAGCAGCTGTTTTACGTCCCTTTAGGCACGCCTTCTGTAGATGTGGGTGAAGGGTCCTTTGAATCCCCACACAGTAAATAAACCTGACCAGATCAATGCAAACGCCTTCAAGCTCTCTGATGAGAAATGCAAAGTGGACGCACTCTCTGTGGAAAGACCCGCTTGGAATAGCGGAGCACTGATTTGCACTTGAGGTGACTGCTGAGTCCTATAGCTGCTATTTTTAACCGTATCGGCCCAATCTACAAAAACCAAGGCAGTAACACCACCAGCAGATTGGAGACGACGTGGGATTATACGACACTGACACAGAGAAAGTTGCAGGAGCGTTGTGGACAAGCTGCTAAATACGTTCTGCAAATGATGGGAGATTGTGTTTCTAATAGATTGACCCTTCCTTCCTCCCTCTCTCCCTCCCTCTGCTCTTTTACATTTTCCCAGCCGCTGGCAGCCGTCATGCGTTACTCCTTCCCATTAAATGCCAGCCACTGCGTCTGACTGCACCAAAAAAAAAAAAAAAAACCCTTCTCTCTAGCCCAAACACAGATGCTTCAGCCATGCTCGTTTTACTATCAAGTGCACGCATTGGCAAACAGGACTCAGAGATGACAAAGCCGACTAACGCATTACATCACGTCTACGAGGGTGGAATGTTTCATTTTAGTGAAACACACACATGCCCGTCTGGGTTGCTCTGGAGAGAGGAGAGAGACTGAGGTGAAATGAGGCAACTGTTTGTATTTGCAGCAGAGGGGACAGCCGAAAACACACATTCACTACAGCGGACACACGATTTATGCTGTGACCTGTCTCTCCACCAGAGCAATACAACAGACAGGGGCTGGCTGGTAAAACATGACATGGGTTGTATGGAACATGGATGTGTATAATGGAATGAATGTATTTGCTTTGGACACAATGCCTGCAAACCATAGGCAAAATTATGTATCTTGGAATACAAATACAACATGTATGAGCCAAGTATGGACAAGAGGTCTGATGGACAGGAAGAGATAAGGGGGGAAGGAATATTGAGAAACACATTATATGCAGGGGAAGCAGAGTGGAGTGGATTTAGCAGTGGGCTATTTCCAGTGAGAGGTGCATACTGGGGTCCCTGGTGTGAGGCTGTGATTGGAATGGATGCTGAAGCTCATTGTGAGTCCAGTCAGGCTGCACTCAGGGTTACACCAGGTGACTGTAGGAGGAGCCACTCAGCCCAGACTATAGACCAGCCTCATATAAGAAACAGGAGGATGTTGTCTGAACTACAGCACTACCCTTAATTAAGATTCATCAACATATTTCAGGTTGTGATGTGTGAGATCAAAGGAACAAAAAGTACCAATTGCCCCCTATCAGGAGAGTGAGTCTGATCATGAAAAGGCAACTTAAAGCATCTAGGACATTACAGAAGTGATTAAGAAACCATATACACATTACTAACTGTTCTCACACATTTCATTGAGAAACAAAAGTAAGACGAAAATCACGTCGCAGATTTGAGCAGTGACATGAGTAAACTTGAAGTTGTTGTTGACTCACCTCCACACCTGTCCCAGCTGAAAGACGTGCAGCAGCGCTTGCCACAGCCACACGGACAGACGGCAGCAAGAGTCCTGCTTCTGCACAGTGGCCGTGGCTCTGCGGCTGCTGAGCCCCTCCACAGAGCCCAGTCCTCCCCCGGTGTAGTCCTGCACGAACCACCTGAAGCTGAGGATCTGCACCAGGACCGAGGGCACCAGCACAAAGAACAGGGTGAGTCCGGACCACAGAAAGTCTCTCTGGTGATAGTAGTGCGCAGCCAGACACAGATCCGAGCCCACGTCCCAGAAGAAGACGAACAGCGCCAGGACTATCCAGAGGCAGTCGAGCCAGAGGCGCTGCTCATGCGTGCTGTCCCCCCTCTTCCCTCGCCCCTTCCCCCGCAGGTAGTGCAGACAAGCGCTCCTGCAGCCCCAGTAGCACGACGACGTGTTGCAGCAGTGACAGATGTGAAAAGAGCTGCCATCGCGAGGGTCGTCCAGGTCCTGCAGCTGCGCGAACCCGGTGACGACCCCGCGGCCGTCCGACTTCGCTGCCATCTTTCCCACTGACGCCTCCACCCCCCCGTCCGGCTTCCGGCCCAAGTGACGACACTTCCCTGACACCTGTTTGGCCCCCCCAAAAATGGAGCCATCGACACAGGCAGCCCCTACCTGCGCAGCCTCTCTCTGCGTCTCCGCTCTGAACACGGCATCCCTCAGTGTCCCTCTCTCTCCTCTGCTCCCACACACTCAGGCACACACTCACTCACACTCGCACTATCACACACTCACACACGCACACGCACACACTCACACATCTCACGTTAACCCCCTGCACCATGCCCATGATGTAATGCCACTGAGCTCTGCGCATATACCCTTCACTTATCGCACCCAAGTCCCATTAGGTGGGACAAAACACAGACCATTCGCAGAAAAAAGCCTTGCTCCAGTTTTATTACACATGTGAGTTCCAGACAGCTGTTTGAGGTCACCTTTGGGTCCCCCTTGATACTGTATGCTCACTATACAGATTTACTACAACACCAAGAGAAAAAGGAGCAGCACTTTAGTCACACAGCACTTATCTTCAACCTTCAAACAGTGAGAGGAGCTGTCCGGTGCTGAAGTAGTGCTGAACTCCATCTCTTTGTTTTTGTCTCAAAAACTGACATGCAGAGCTTTGCAGCAGAAGTAGCTTTGACATTCCTGTGACTCTACGACTTTGCCAGGGGCACAAGTTTGATTGTGACATAATATAAATAACAAAACACAGTTTATAAATCCTCAACTTCAATTTCATGCTAGAGAGCCTTTTTATTGATTACTGCTCTAACCCAGTCAATATTGTCATTTTTATTTGTATTGTTTATATTCCTAATACCAAAACAAAATTCATTGCTACAATAAATGACACTACTCTCTTCTTCAAGGTGAGAAAACTTTATACAAGGGTTAGACAGAGGAAAGTGGGAAATGGCTGCCGACCGTTAAAGGGAAATTAACGAGGAAACCAACAGAACCAAGTGAAGAGAAAACTTATCTTCAAGCATCACTTCTACAGGGGACATATAGAATTATTATGAAATATGTATACTATATATGACTCCAAGAGATGGAAAACAGAGATCCCATGGGTCAAATGTTGGCTCTTGTGCCCAGTCTGTTGGAACACTGTGTTAAAGCTGCCGAAACCTAGCTTTTTTTTAACCTAACTTGCTTTTGTTTTACTATTTCATTCTTTTGTGCCTGAGACCTTCATCATTAATCTTAATAAATGTGCATAAATGTCCCAGATCATTACTGCCCTTTGACCCTCCTGCATCGACAAGGACAACTAAAAACACCAATAAAAGAAAAGAATATGAGAAACCTTGGGGAGGCCCAAACGGAGAGAGGGGTCGGCTACCACAGACAGACAGGCTACAGAACCAGGACTGAGGCTGTAGAACTAGGACTGAGGCTGTAGAACTAGGACTGAGGCTGTAGAACCAGGACTGAGGCTGTAGAACCAGGACTGAGGCTGTAGAACTAGGACTGAGGCTGTAGAACCAGGACTGAGGCTGTAGAACTAGGACTGAGGCTGTAGAACCAGGACTGAGGCTGTAGAACTAGGACTGAGGCTGTAGAACTAGGACTGAGGCTGTAGAACCAGGACTGAGGCTGTAGAACTAGGACTGAGGCTGTAGAACTAGGACTGAGGCTGTAGAACCAGGACTGAGGCTGTAGAACTAGGACTGAGGCTGTAGAACCAGGACTGAGGCTGTAGAACTAGGACTGAGGCTGTAGAACCAGGACTGAGGCTGTAGAACTAGGACTGAGGCTGTAGAACCAGGACTGAGGCTGTAGAACTAGGACTGAGGCTGTAGAACTAGGACTGAGGCTGTAGAACCAGGACTGAGGCTGTAGAACTAGGACTGAGGCTGTAGAACTAGGACTGAGGCTGTAGAACCAGGACTGAGGCTGTAGAACTAGGACTGAGGCTGTAGAACCAGGACTGAGGCTGTAGAACTAGGACTGAGGCTGTAGATCCAGGACTGAGACTGTAGATCCAGGACTGAGGCTGTAGAACCAGGTGAATTGCAATGAACAGACCACAAAAACATGACAGATAAAGGAGGAAGAAGTCTTCTTGGATGGTGCTCAGGTTAATACACATTTCCTAACATCTCCTAAAATATCATATTCTCCATACTTAAAAGCCCTGTGGGTCAGTATTTGTGTCTTTAGGCTGAGAGCTGTCTAAAAAAGCTGATCTGACGGAGGTAAAAGGTACATGGCTGTGTGATATAGTGAAAAACTCTTTTGAGATCATGAAGAGATGGATTTTATCACATTATTTTATTTATTTTGTTGTGGTTTGACAGTTAGTGACCCCAGATGTGATGTCATGTCTGAGAAGTCATAAATGATAGTATTATGAAAGCAAATAAATACAGTAGGTATTATTTGTTGTGTCTTTTCTTCTATGTATCTTTATTGTCTTTATGAAGAATAAACTTGCTTACCTCGACTCTTGTAACTGAATGGGATTTCCTGAACTTTAAATAGACTTTAAATTGACTTTTCCCGGTGAAGGTTTCGGAGCGACTGCAGCCTTGAGGACAAACCTTCAGACGTGGAGAACCTTGAATCTTCCAGACAGCGGCGTTTAAGCATTCACTGAGCCTTCAAGTGCACAGAGAAGATGACAAAGCAAAGATAAGTCTGAGTGCAAGAAGAGATCATGTTTCCTGTTGCTTGAGATATTATTCATTCACGTGCAATATTGAAAAATGTAAAATGCTAAATATCTGATTACATGACCAGTTGAAAGCAGAAGTTTACATACACCCACGCAACAATAATACACCCAAGTTGTTTCTCTTTTCCTGATTTATACTCCAAGTAAAACCTTTCGTGCTAGTTCAGGTGGATTTGTGCTTTATTTTTAAATATATAAATAATAGAAGGAAATTATTTTATTATCGGAGTGATGAAAAAAAAACCTTGTAAAGATGTCGGAGTAAATTAATAAAATGTACTCTGACATCTTTACAAGGTCCTTTTTTTCATCAAAAAGAAGGACCTTGTAAAGATGTCGGAGTAAATTAATAAAATGTACTCTGACATCTTTACAAGGTCCTTTTTTTCATCAAAAAGAAGGACCTTGTAAAGATGTCGGAGTAAATTAATAAAATGTACTCTGACATCTTTACAAGGTCCTTTTTTCCCTTAGAATTGTTTGTTCATCTCCAGGAGACAGACTGTTCCTGACTTTTTCCCATGTAACGTACTAAACTTTCAGGCGTTTCTGAGGCCTTCAAGTCCACAGTCCTTCTCCTTTGGTTTTTGGCTGATTTAATTGGATTTACCCATGATCAGTATCAAATAAATAAATTGGGCCTATGTCATTTTGCCACAATGTCAATAATGCCATATCTACTGAAGCCATACTGGATTAAACATCAGGATTTGTGATTTGGGAGGTTTCTGGTTTCAGCTGTATATGTGATTAGTTGTGGTGTTGCCAAACTGTTCAACCATTCAGATAAGGTTAATGTGAACTAGGCTGATGTGGGGAACGACTCGGATGAAACTTTACCTATTTGTTTGTGAAGTGTATTATAGCCTAATTATGTGTTATTATGAATGTTATTATAAAAGATAAACAGAATACAAAGGGAGCAGAATTGGCTGGAGGAAAGTGATGATTCATAAATGAGACATTGTCTTTGGGACTACATGACTGACAGGCAGCGCTGAGTAAGGCTGTAGGTGTGAGGGAAACTGTCATTCTGCTAAAAAAGTGGCCCGCAGTTGCATCTGAAAACATGTCAATATGTGTCGGCTTCAAAGATCAACTGCATCCATCATCAGAGATACAAGAGGAAGTCAAGCGTCCAGTAAATCCAATATAATCCTATTCAAATTGGATCATTTGTCAATGAGCTGCCTGTTGTTTTTGTTCCTCAGTCAGACCAGCATTTATGGTTCACAAATGTATCTGTTGTCTATTAAATGTATTTAACCATAAAAGTCTGAGTGGCACTGTTTGAACTCCACATTGCCTAACTGCATATGCTTCCATTTCTAAAACACAAATGAATGCAATGACCCTTTGGAGTCTAATCAATTGGCTGAAGGGTTGATGTTGAGGCTCTGTATTTCTATCCTCTGATTACTGATTTACTTTAATTAAAGTGGCATCATTGCACAAAGAAAAAAACACATTTAAAATCCCACTTAAACATTAAAAATAATGAGACGTAAAGCCTCTGTCTGGAAGGATGTCTGATAGACAGAATGGTCAGGTTTGATAATTCCCTTTCCCTTGCTGAAAAAGTCCAGATTGACTACTGACAACATTATCCATTGTTTGTTTTCTGTCATTACTGCTGCCCCAACAAAAGTGTCACAAAACCAAAACTGTGACAACTGTTCTCACCGTGTCTGTGAAGGTTTCTTCCATGTGCTCAAGTTTTTTTCCTTTCCACCAAACAGACGGGATGTACTATGTAACAAGTAAGTGATTAGATGATGGTCGGCGACTTTGATACATTAGTTTGTTTAAGAATTTGTAAACAGAACAAAGAATTAAGCAGATGTGGAAATCTCTTTTTGATATTCTGAATGATTTCTTTTGATTTGTGCACATTGACAAACAAGGAAGCGTGCTTGAGATGTAGTCATGGATCTATTATGGATGTTGTCCTAAAATACATCTACAGTAGCTTCCCATATAAAATGACAGAGCAGAATTTTGGCCATTTATCAATATGGCATATTCAGGTTGCATGTGAAAGCCTGATCCTGTCAGATCTCAACAGCCAAGAAATTAACCAAGCAACGAACCAACTATCCTAATGTGGGATAATAAAAATTGTGAAGTGACTCCATCTAGTGGTCAACAATATTTGAAGGTTTGGCAGTATGCGAAACAAAGAGTAGTATAATAAAGTTCGTGCTTGCACATAACATATTTAATACACTATTATTATATTTTTGTATGCATAGACAATAAACAATACCCCAAAATATTGTCCTGGTTAGTCGACATCATAGACGTTTTATGGTCAACATGTGGAAATAAAAAGGTATTATAAAGCTGCAGAATAAATTATTCGATTTACTTTAACATTTTACTGTTATTCTTGTATTTCTCACTTTGAGAACAGAAGTTGAGCTCTATTTTGTTTCCAGTCGGTCTGTTATTGTTGACGCACTAAAGGATCCAGCTGATAATCAAGCCGCTGTAGCAGTCGCTGAACTAAAACCTCTCCACAGAAACACTGATTATTTCACATAAAGATTAACCACAGCGTGTTTCTTTGATTGTTTCCGTTTCACGTGAGGTTCGTATCTTGTTTTTGTTCAGTTCCCCTTTTCCCTTCCTCCTGTTTGCTAGCGCTCCTAGCACCTGATATCCCATTTCCTGACTTCTGTATTTTACTTCGGATCCGTTCATCTGTTCAGCATTTAGTCGTCAGAATACACTTAGCAGAACGAATTATGATTGAAAACGTTTTGCAATCATCTAAAATGTAGAATGTTTTTGTGTCTACTTTAGAACATGGAGTTTGCAGAGCTAATAAAGACACCCAGGGTGGACGGGGTTGTCCTGCACCGGCCACCGTTCCTGCCCACAGTTGAGGGGACGCTGTGTCTTACAGGACACCACCTGATTCTGTCCTCCAGACAAGACAACACGGAGGAGCTGTGGCTGCTCCATTCAAATATAGATGCCATAGAGAAAAGGTGATTCTGTCTGAGACACATGCTGTCTGTCTGAGGGCTGTTCCCAGAGTGTAATCAACCATCTACTAAAATATGTATTAAAATAGGTTTCAACATATTTCAGATTTGTGGGTTCACTTGGAAGCATCATTGTCAAATGTAAAGACTTGAGGGTTATAAAGTTGGACATTCCTGGTATGGATGAGTGTTTAAACATTGCCAGTTCTATTGAGGTAAAACATAATAATGACCCTAATCCTTACTATAGTATCAAGCTGTGCAAGTGCTGTCATTAATGACCTTTGTCATCCAGGCGCTATCCACTCTGGATTCTGTGACTCTGATGTACCCTTTCTTTTACCGCCCCATGTTTGAAGTTATTGAGGATGGCTGGACCACTTTTCACCCTAAAGGTGCTTTTAAAGACCTGGAATCAATGGTACATCTGTCAATAATATGTGAATTTCTTGTCAATGCTATTGTTGTCTCACCTAATCTGTGTCCGTGTCTTTGTATTAGACCGATGAGTGGAGGCTGAGCGATGTCAATAAGGACTTTAACATCTGTCCATCATACCCACCTGTAGTGGCTGTACCCAAAGATATTGATGATGACACTTTAAAGAAAGTTGCAACCTTCCGTCATGGTGGCCGCTTCCCAGTGCTTAGCTATTATCACAAGAAAAATGGCATGGTAAGGAACGCAACATTGAGTGATTTATTGACATCAATTCAAAATGGTATAATGTTTGACTGTTATATCTGGAGGTGATGATGCGAGCGGGACAGCCTCTATCTGGCACCAATGGGCGACGGTGTAAAGAAGACGAGAAGCTAATCAATGCCACTCTGCGCCCTGGTAAACGTGGATATATCATTGATACTCGTACCATTAACGTTGCTCAGCAGGCAAAGGCAAAAGGAGGAGGGTTTGAATCAGAGGCAAACTACCCACAGTGGAGGAGGATAAACAAAGCCATAGAAAGGTGAGTCCTTTCCCCTTATTAATCCATTCCAAAATAAACTTATAATGCATTCACTCTACTAAAATTGCCTTTTCCACATAAAGTACAGTATGTTTTCTATGACAATTTATGCAGAATATAGGATAAAACAATGCTGTTTAACTCTAAGTGTGAATTAATAATGTGCGTTTGTTCCAGGTCAAATGTGTTGCAGGAGAGCCTGATTAAACTGGTTGAAGCCTGTAACGATCAGTCTCACAGTATGGATAGATGGCTCAGCAAGTTAGAAGCATCAAACTGGCAGACACATGTCAAGGAGATCCTGACCACAGCTTGTCTGGCGGCCCAGTGCATAGATAGGTCAGTGTGTCATTTAGTAAACAAAAACCAAACCTAGTTAATGTTAAGTTACACTTTTTTGTGCTCATTGATAAAGTAGTCTTCTGCATTCGACCCATCCCTCCAATGCCACTAGTGCAGCCTGTCTGTGTCTTAGTTGTATTCAAATCACAAAAGAGCTTAAACCCATCCATACATTTTCTCCTGCTTTTCCTGCTGTCGGGTCATGGGGCAACAGTCTAAGCAGAGACATCCAGATTTCCCTCTCCACACACACTTCTTCCAGCTCATCCGGGAGAATCCTGAGGTGTTCCCAAAATTAGTTATTGGTCATTCGTAATATAGATATACAACCACAGCCTAAGCTAGAGTAGGCTTGATCCTTTGACAACTTTGACATTGATCCTGGACTGTTAATTACTTGGTGATATCAGAGCATGATGTGGTCATGGTTATAATACTGGACAAAAATGTTCTTAAAGCTATCTATATACCCAGTGTATATATATTTCTATGTATGTTTTTAAAAACAACCTTAAGTAAATGTGAAAAAAACACCAATAATGTTTCCTTATGGTTAATTATTGGGTTTTTATGCATGTTACTTTTTAAGTCAATTCAACTGACATGTGTTTGCTGTGGGCAAAGTCTCCCTCCGAATCCTGACAGCTCCTGTTGTGTATTACAGAGAAGGAGCATCGGTGCTCGTCCATGGCACTGAGGGGACTGACTCCACCCTGCAGGTCACCTCTTTGGCTCAGATCATTTTGGATCCGGCCTCTAGAACCATTCGAGGATTTCAGAATCTGGTGGAGAAAGAGTGGCTCCAGGTTGGTTTAAGGCAGTGCCAACATTTTATTTATCCAAGTAAGTCAAACAGATCGATACAGTCCTGGTCTACTCTTTAGTTGTTTTATAAACGGGTTTGCAACAGTGGCTCTGTTGGTGATAGAGCATTGGCCTTTGAGCCTGAAGGTTGTGGATTTGAGCCCACCACGAGACCCACTTCATAACTTCCACCGATGACAGTTGTCGTTTTGTCCTTGGGCAAGACACTTAACCCCGCTTTGCCTGGAAGATCAAGGTTTCTGTGGACTCACAACCTGCAGGAGGATCAGTGAGGGGCTGGTGCTATGTGTACTGGCTGCAGCTCTGACTGCCACTCCCCTGACCCAGAAATGGACTAAGGGGTAGAAAATGGATGGAAAATGGATGGTTGTTGAGGTTGAGGAAATATGGTGTATATTTTATCCTTTTGCTTGCTTTTTAATAAGAATGACCTGTTTTAAGGGGTGTAAGGGGTGCATGGTCAGGACTGAACACAAGGAACCTGATCTAATGGATTTTTATCAAATATAATGGATTGTTGCATCGTGCCACAGTGGTGAACTGTAAGTGTTGCAGCACTTTAAGATATAAGGGTTATGTCAATATATAACCCAATATATAACCCTCAGTCTACAAGACCCTTGATAATCGGAACAGGCCAGCCAGGATATACAGAATAATATAAAGAATAATATCATAATTGTTCTAACATGTGTTTTATTACGCAGGCTGGTCACCCGTTCCAAGTGCGGTGCTCTCAGTCTGCCTTCTGCAGTACCAAACCCCGCCAGGAGGCGCCAGTGTTCCTCCTCTTCTTGGACTGTGTGTGGCAGATTCTTCGACAGTTTCCGTGCTCCTTTGAATTCAATGAGAATTTCCTGGTGCTGCTGTTTGAACACTCTTATGCCTCTCAGTTTGGTACCTTCCTTGGCAACTGTGCAGCTGACAGGTACCTTAACGTTACAGAGAGGGTAGCCTGTGCTCTCAGGTCGAAAAGACACATTACTTTTAAAACACTCAGTAAAAGTAACCAAATCAACACGTTTTGTATTTTGCAGAGTGAAGTTGGGTCTGCCTGAGAAGACTGTGTCTCTTTGGTCCTGGGTAAACAGGCAGCAGGAGCTTGAGCGACTGACCAACCCTCTGTATGAGGCCAACACTTTAGTGATCTGGCCCTCTGTCGCCCCCCAGAGTCTGCTCCTGTGGGAAGGTACAAATCAACACCAAATCACTTTGTGTACACGTAGATTGGCTTAAAGGTATATAGGAGGATTTTCCTCTAATTTTAGGAAAGGAATTTCCACTTTCAACTCTCTGGTCTTATAGGACGAGCACATGTAACGGGGGTATGGCGGTGTGAACATGGTAGTGGATGTTGTGCAGATTAAAATGTCTTTATGGACTAAAAGAGCGAGCTGTGTTTCCAATAAAAACTATGTTGTTTAAAAAGGTAAAATACTTTTAATGCAATAACATTATTTAAAATGGTTAAAACTAATGAAAAAGTGGCAGTCCGGAGAGGGTCCCGAAGCCGCAGAGTGGAGTAGTGGTGTCCTGCTCCGCTCCGCCGCGAAAGCCGCACCTGGGCAGAAAGACAAAGGGCCTGGCCCAAGGCCGCTTTATGGTGGTGCTCGCTGCAGCTACTCCCTCGCCTCTCTCTAGCCCTCCACGCCGCTTGTCACCTCCCGGGCGTCCAGCTGTGTGCTCTTGCCCTTGCACACAGCACACACATGGGCTAGCCACGCACAGCACCCTGGACCCTCCCTCAGCCCAAGGCTTCCACCCACTGAACATCACATACACTGGAGCGTTACTCATGGACAGGGCAGGGTCCAAATGACCTGTCTCTTTGGGTAGTCGGTGGTGTGGTGTGGGGGTCCTGAGTGTGGGTGCCGTGACTCCGGTTCTGAAAGACCGTTCTGTGTGCTTGATTGCAGTTTGTCCCTCGACCGGATTACACACATATCACCAAAATAACTGACAATTGGGTGGGCCAATAGTCTTGATTGACGTGTTAACACGTCAATTGCGTTTCCCGCTATTTTCACGTTCCCAGTCTATTGTATCAAATAGAGGCTTGAGGCAATATTTTATTGAGCCAGCAGATGGCAGCATTGCTCTATGAATGGTTTGAAAACAGCTAGATGCACTTTCTGGTGATTTCAATAAAACTTACCTCTACTCGACTGGGGATTACAGGAGAACGAAACAAGCTAGAAACCAAAATTATTTTTGCTGATGAAAGTAGACAGTCCATTCTTTCAGAATCTGGTTTTGGATTTTAGATAGTCATAGTACACAATATTCTGTGGGTCTTGAAAATTCAGTAAAAATCATCAGAAACGGCTGGCAATATGGGAGTACCTGTTCTGAAATAGGCTGGCAGTCAATCGCATGTCCGAATGACCCGCCCATTTATAATAATATCACTCAGAATGCCGCGGACACGTGTGGTCATATAATACACGCATATATACACGCACAGGGGCCATTCTCTGATGTTGTGTGACACACGGAGGAGAGGAGGAGACAAGCTGAAATGCAACCAAACTCGCAAAATTAAAGCTGGGGTACCTACATTTTCCCTTTCATTAACAGCTCTTGTTGGTTGTACCCAAAAGTAGAAGGTTGTGAGCAAGTCAGTCAAACAGATTTAAGTACATTTGGTATCAATAACAATGTGTCATTACATTTGAAAATCTCATTTAACTTCAATTGGAGTGGATTTGAAATAGGATGCTTAAAATGCGATTAATCGTGAGTTAACTCACCATTACTGTGCGATTAATCAACTAAAAAAAATTAATCGTTTGACAGCCCTAATATATATATATATATATATATATATATATATATCTAATAGATTAAAAATACAATAGAATTGATGGATAGTGTTAGTGCTTTGTTGTATTTCTCTTTGTGTCCGTGGGAGTTCGACCTATAAGCTTTATCAGAGTGTGAAAGCTCCCACTGCGGCCCTTTGTCATGTAACAGAAATTGGGCTGGGCCACTTCTTCAATAAAAAGCTCAAATTCAGCTGTAGGGAGTAACCTGATGTGTTTTTCAGAATTGACACTCCTGAAAACTGCAAGCCATGGGTAAAAACAAAGTCATTATGACTTCTGACGCAACACTTGGCCTGGGAGAGAAAACCTCTACAATTAATAAGCACCGCAAGTTGTTGAGACCACCAGAAAAAAATTACAATGAACACAGTCGAAAAGGTTCAAATGCTTCGTGTGTGTGTGTGTGTGTGTGTGTGTGTGTGTGTGTGTGTGTGTGTGTGTGTGTGTGTGTGTGTGTGTGTGTGTGTGTGTGTGTGTGTGTGTGTGTGTGTGTGTGTGTGTGTGTGTGTGTGTGTGTGTGTGTGTGTGTGTGTGTGTGTGTGTGTGTGTGTGTGTGTGTGTGTGTGTGTGAGTGAAAGAGAGAAATCATCAGTGAGACGGTAAAAATGATGAATGGAGCGTTTTGGAGTAGTGACAGTATTAAGAAGTAAAACTTTACACATGAATTGCCGTAGCAGGTTCGTAGGAGAGGGGGAGAGGGTCCCGGTGCACATGAATAAAAAGAATGGTTACTGCACACTGCTGTCCTTGCAAAAATATATATTTTTTGGAAAATGTAACATTTTGGTCCTGTGGCCTTCATCAATCAAATCGATGAAGAGCTCCAGGTGGCACGCTTTAAAAAGGGTGTGGCTGGCCTCCATGGGTGGCCCTCGTAGGGGGAAAGTATAATAAAAAGAGGAAATAATGCAAACAAACTTTTGAAAGGCATGAGAGAATATATATTATAAATATAAATTAGTGTACTTGTACAGTGGGTCAAAAAAGTATTAAGTCAGCCACCAATTGTGCAAGTTCTAATAATGACAGAGGTCTGTGATATTCATCATAGGTACTTTTCAACTGTGAGAGACAGAATGTGAAAAAAAATCCAGGAATTAGCATTGTAGGATTTTCAATTAATTTATTTGTAAATTATGGTGGAAAATAAGTATTTGGTCAATAACAGAAATTCAACTCAATGGAAGGAGGTTTTGGCTCAAAATCTCACGATACATGGCCCATTCATTCTTTCCTTAACACGGATCAGTCGTCCTGTCCCCTTAGCAGAAAAACAGCATGATATTTCCACCCCCATGCTTCACTGTAGGTATGGTGTTCTTGGGATGTAACTCAGTATCCAAACACGACGAGTTGAGTTTATACCAAACAGTTCTACTTTGATTTCATCTGACCACATTACATTCTCCCAATCCTCTGCTGTATCATCCATGTGCTCTCTGGCAAACTTCAGACGGGCCTGGACATGCACTGGCTTCAGCAGGGGGACACGTCTGGCACTGCAGGATTTGATTCCCTGTCGTCGTAGTGTGTTACTGATGGTAACCTTTGTTACTTTGGTCCCAGCTCTCTGCAGGTCATTCACCAGGTCCCCCCGTGTGCTTCTGGGATTTTTGATCACCGTTCTCATGATCATTTTGACCCCACGGGATGAGATCTTGCGTGGAGCCCCACATCAAGCCCCATATCAGTGGTTGAAATATCGTTTTGGGCTACATTTGGGCTATCTTTTATACAGATAATGAGTTCAAACAGGTGCCATTAATACAGGTAACGAGTGGAGGACAGAAGAGCTTCTTAAAGAAGAAGTTACAGGTCTGTGAGACCCAGAGATCTTCCTTGTTTGAAGTGATTTTCCACCATAATTTACAAATAAATTCTTTAAAAATCCTACAATGTGAATTCCTGGATATTTTTTTCACATTCTGTCTCTCACATTTGAAGTGTACCTATGATGAAAATTACAGACCTCTGTCATTATTTTAAGTGGGAGAACTTGAACAATCGGTGGCTGACTAAATACTTTTTTGCCCCACTGTATATAAAGTAGGATAAGTGGATACAGTGACATTCAGTGGACATTCTGAAATAGTATTATACAAAAAGAATATTACTCTCCCATGATTGGGGATCAGTGTTAATAATGTGCTATAGGGCGATCCTTTTGGCCAGTTCTGTTTTTTCACAGCACATGCAATGAAAACCAGAATGGCTGGATTGTTTGTGCTAACAGTCACTCTCCTGAGCAGGACCAACAGCGTCCTGCAGAAATAAAGTTTCCTCTCTGTAAGTTCTGGTGTGAACTAACAAACAAACGTGGCCCATGACAACCTCTTGGAGGCTGAGTTAATGAAACACAATGTTCTTTTAGCGGAGACACTGCAGGTATTCAAAAATTCTAGAGTTGACATCACCACACAGACAAACGGCAGCTTACGACATAAAGAATTAAATGTGCAAAAATCTGAATGGGGATAGTATAAAGGACATTGTCTGAATGAAATCCCCTGCATGTACGCAATGGTCTGCTCAACTCACTATGTTGAAGAAGAGGTCTGTCTCACATCTTCAAGAAGACTGTCCCAAGTTTTGTCACACCTTTCATGGATCGGATGTTATAGTCTTCACTTACAAATGTTTGTTTTGTTTTATAATTACTGTTGATACTTTGTTTAGGCATATGCATGTTCTGGTTTCAAGTATGACTAATACGATTATTGGAAAGTATTTATCATGACTTTGAATCATGCGCTGTTTTATTGAATTGACAAATATATTTCTATATTCTCTGTAATTTTGCGCAATGGTTGTGTCAGCCACTCCACCCCATAAGGCAATGCCAGGTTCATACACAAGGCAAGGCATTAACGAAGATGCAATCCTTCAGTTGTATGCACAGCTAAACAGGACTGGTTTAAACCTGGGTTTGAAAACTGTCAGAGTTCTCAGTAATAATATTTACAGTCTATGGTAATAACACAATACTCTGTTGTTAATATGTCTAGTATGTTTTCATTCTGAAAGATGGGTGTTGTTGTTTATAGGAGTGTTTCTTCGCTGGACCCGCTCCTCTAAGTGTCTGGATGAGGCCTTCGAGGAAATGGTTCATATCATAGAGTATAATAAGGAGCTGCAGAACAAAGTCAACAGCCTCCGCAGGCAGCTGGCTCAACTCGAAACCGAGGATCCACTTCTGCAGTCTCCGTAGAGCGGTAACAAAGGTCAAACATGAAATTAAAATGCATGAATAATTCTGTAAAAATCCATGGGTTTGTCCACCACCCAGCCTCGCTCACTTGGATATTGCTTATTTTGCATCGAGCTTCACATATCGTCCACTCCTCCAACTAAAGGCTGTCTCCGTGGAAACGTATAAGGTCCATAAGGCTGCTCACGTTGCAGTGATATAATATGTGTAGGCACAGTCAGCGCCAACTCTGAAAATGTGCATCACTTACTTCCAATACTCTTTCATATCTTCGTTAGGCCTGTATTTAACAATTATTTTGATAATTAGATGGGTGATTATTCATTCGTTTCCCATTACCAAATTGGTTAATCAATTAGTTGTTTTGATCCGAAAAGATCAGTGAATATGGAATTGTTATTGCTTTATGACCAAAAGAACCCCTTCTGCTCATTTAAGTCTATGTAAGTTTAAAAAATATATGATTAATCAATTACTAAATTAGTTAATGCGTAGTTCAATAATTGATTAGTTGTGATTCATTGATTAACTAGTTACAGCCCTAATCTTAATAACCGTGATATTATAATCTTCCTAAATTTCCCTTCAAAGTAATCAGATATGGTAAAAACTAGGATATGAAAAATGACAATTGATAACTGGCTTTAAGATAATATTCTGACCTAATTTAATAATTGGAAACCTAGGACTTTTCTAATTTAAGTCGGTGCTTCATGTCAATTTTGTCTCGCACTCCGATCTCTGAAACCTTTCTAACAGCCAAACTCCAGTCACAGTACATGCCTTCTGTTGGTTGGTTAAAATCACAGTTGCTTTGATGGTCAGACTCTGCTTACTTTACTCCCTATATTGAAAAACGGATGTAAGAGAGAAAAAAAGGTATTCTGTTTGTCTTGTGTTTTTGGCCTTGAAAGAGAACTTTTACTTTGCAAACTTGTGGTTTGTGACTTTAACCCTCCTTGGGCTCATGCAGTGTGTCCCAAGAGAGGCAGGTACTTTCATTGTTGAGCACTTTATTTATAACAACTGTTGACTGTGGTTCATGTTCACTTGTTGTGTACCAATCTAGTCTTTTATGAGTTTTCTCAATATACCTTTCATACTAATTTGATTTTCATTATGTATTTGGATTCAGGAGTTGTTTTCTCACTTGTTTTTTACAGCCTGTTTTGCGATTAATTTTTTTTAACAAATATATCAAAATATTGTGTTTTATGTAACTGGTCTGCAACTATAGCTATAACATATGTTAGTAAAGGGGAATGGGGAAGTTGAAATTCATCTGCTGCTGTCTTGTCCTGTGTGCTTCTGCATAATATATATATACATATATATATATATATATATATATATATATGCAACTCAATATTTTAGAGTATTATTTTATCCCCAGTCGACACACTAATCTTGAGATAAGATAAATCTTTATAATCTCACATTTGAGAACTTAACATGTTTAATTTGGCATCAATAGGATCACCCAGGGTGTGTAAAAGACAGGAAATGTCTTTTGCACACATTTCCTGTCATGACTTTGTAGTGTTTTACAAAGTCATGACATGTACTTTGTAGAGCACTGTTTTAAAAGAGGATACTGCTTTATCTGTGCAGTTGTCACATATTTTGTTTGGAGCAGTAATCTTGTTGCTGTCTGAAATGGCCATTTTGAATATCCTTGAATTGAGTGATTGAGAATGGATTCACTAAAAATGTAGTTGATGTTTTGTAACCTCTACATTCCAAGGCATTAAACATACTCGTATGTGACCATCTTCAACAGTTGTGTTCTCAAGTTGTTTTTTCCCAACCTTTTTCTTAAAACCTGTCAAACTTGTTGATTACACAACATTGTGCAAATTTGTTTTATGTTTTATGGAGTGCTATAGAGTGCTATATTTCACTATACTTTGCCTCATACAGCTTCATATAGCCACAGTGAGCAACACCTCGGCATGTGATTCAAATATGCTCCGGTGTCATAGCACAAGAACTGATTTAAGTAGCAGTGAAATAAATAGCATAGGATCATGTGTTTGGAGCAGCTTGTGATGCAGTAATGTTTACAAAGTAAGTACTCTTATTGGATATTCCCAAGATGCAACGAGTGCTTGAACTTCCAGTACAGACCTGCGAGGCGAGTTAGTTGGAAGTTTAGTTAATCAAAATTGTAGTCACATTCACACTAATTTGATTACTTTAGAATACTATATTAAACTAGTGACTACACTTTTCTTCTTGCATCTCTATTGTTATCTGCCATAATATCTTATTGCTATAATCTAACAGCAGATTGTATGCATAATTTGTTTGCATTCCAGTTTAGTCATTATGTTGTTTTGAACCCCTCTCAAGGTGATGACGTCAGAGGGGGTGTGCGTGCCTCTACCACTCACAGTCCATCACCAGCTGTAGACCATTTTACGCTCTTCAGATTTGGGCCTAGTGTTGACACTTGTTTTGGCCCCGCTCTATCTACAGCAAACACTCATTTTCAAAGTCAAACAGCTCACATCCTACCTCAGCGTAGGTAAACACAAAAGGCATATGGCCAGGCCTTTATGAGGGAGCTGAAGCCCTGAACACTCATGGCACAGCTCAATGCACTGAGGTCTTAAGTGGACATGGCTCATGACTTTGACCCTCAAAGGCACGTGAGAGCATCTGGTTCAGCAGGTCAGCCTGTGTGTAACAAAAACTCACATTTCACCATGACGTGTACCCCAGGGGTTTCCAAATAAGGGGTCTGCAGAACGTGTACGTGCAGTCTTAGCAGTCCTCAAATATTCCATGGTTTCCTATTGCCACCATCGACCATTACACACACTTACTTAAAAACTAGTTTAATTAAATATTAATTTCTAATACTGCCAAAAGGAGAGATGCAATGTACAGGATGAAGCAAGAGTACAAATTTACACGTTTTTTAAAATACTGTATGTTGGAAAAAAAAAATTTGAACTTGCGGTATTTATTACTAATGTTGATCATGTTTTTGGGACCCCCAACACTTGGTTCAGGGGCCCCAATTTGATAACCGTGATGTAAAATGCGACGTTGCTGTGCACTTTATGTATATAGCATCAAACTCATTCCATGTGACACATATAAAGTAAATCTAAAGCACATTGACATTATGTAATAAAGGGGTATCTAAACTTTAACATAAACTGAGGAGGCTTGTGAAGAAAGGGGCCACATGGAGACACATGGGGTCTACAGGCGCACGAGGAGCCACGGGCCGCTGTGCTGGGTGCCGGGTACGTCACGCGGTCACAGCCAATGAGAGGGGACCGCACCTTCTCTCAGTCGCCAATGGCGAAAGGACGCCGGCTTCCTCTCGAAGCAGATGGAAGCAGATATAAAGCCTTCAGGCGCAGCTGACGCAATACTAGAGGAAGATAACACTTGGGGTCAGCATCAGCACATACACGCGCCCAGAGCCCAGAGGGGATTTATTTAACTGACATTTACGCTCAACCGGTAAGTACAGCCTTTCATAGCACTGGAATTACAGTATATCTAGCTAAATGATGTCAATTAGAGGATTAGTAATAGTAGATTGTGTCATTTATCGTTTGCTCACCCACTTTCCTCATGCACCACGAGTCAGGTGGGCCACATGGCCTTCCTTATATAGACAGTTGTTTAAATAATAATTTTTCTAAAAAAAAAAATACGTTATAGCTCTCATTCCATTAAATGCCAATTTTGGACTCTAAATGTTGAGAGTACTTTACTCCGGTGCGACTGGAATTAAAACGAGATTAGGAAAGGTGGTCTCAGCTCTCGGACTCTCGTTTTCTCACAGTCGGGGACCCTCTCATATAACTGCTTAACCCCGTGCGTAAAACTCTTGACACTGCCACTGGACACCGTAATTTGATAGGAAGTACCCACATAAAGGTTAAATGGAAAAGAACTCATGGACTAAGCAGTATTCGCAAATGCAGTCGTTCTATATGAAGACTGTAACAGTGTGAGGGTGTAAACGTGTCGCTGAGACTGCCAGTCATCCTGGTCTTGGCACTGTTGTCGTTTGCGCTGTGTGACACTGCACGCCCTCTGGTTCTGATTGGCCTCTCTCTAAAGGCTGGACAGTATAAATACACTCAAGTTTCTCTCCTCCTTCCTTTTTTTGGAAGCTCTGCACCCTCCGTAAGTTTTTGTACACGTATTGGAGATATGAAGCGTAAAGAAAATATTTTACCATTGCCAGGAGAGTCCGTAATTACGATGGAGTTAGTTTTGGGCCCGAGGAGACAATGGGCTGTTGTTCTTTTTGCGCGCGTCTGAGCCATTGTGCCGCTGGCGTGGCGCTGGTTAGAGAGTCGACGTGTTCAGGCCATTACAGTGTAGTTTGTGACTAGTTTGTTCTGTTTAGTAATACATACATAAAACGGGTTTGTGATGTAAATTCTTAATGATACATTGTTTAAACTAATCTCTGATGTTACAAGGGTGAGACGTGTAAATGAAGTATGTGTGTGTGCAGATACCAGTATGCCTATGATCAGAAGCCTCAGCAGAGTGGCCAAGCAGGCCCTGCTCAACTCCCCAGCCTGTGGCTGTCAGCCTGTAGCCATTGCCATCCGAAACATCAGCTTCTCCCCTCGCCAGGTGACTTCTGATGCCAGCTTCCATTCTGTGTCTTTCTCAGAGACTGACCACCCAAAGGTGCTCATTACAGGTAAGACACATACATATGTAATGTGGACTGGAGTTGGTACAGAATGTCCCGTAGTTAGATGCTTTTTAACCAACTTGGCATCTAAAACTAATTGAGATGCCAGTTTTTAAACAAAGTGGGTGTCTGGGCTTTGACCTTTTTGTTTAAGGCCCCAACCCACCCACTCCATCTCTATGGAAACCAGCGGAGGAGATAATTATTTGGTGCTGTTTTACTGCTTGCTCTGTGCTGACTGCAGTTCCCTTGTTTGTGTGTCGCAGGTGGCCTGGGGCAACTCGGGGTTGGGCTGGCCAAACTCTTGAGGTAAAATGCCATCTATAGTCTCGCATCATTGTCAATCCCAACTAAGTTTTTAAAGCATTTCAACATAACTTTTCTTTTTCAGAAAGAGGTTTGGCAAGAATAATGTAATTCTATCAGACATTAGGAAACCCCCAAGCAACGTCTTTCACAGTGGTGAGTAGTGACCAAATGAAACAGAAACATTAGTAATTGAACAACAGAATAACAACCAGAATTCCAGTTATGAATGTGGGTAAACACGTTGTGCTGGATTTGTAACATCAGATTCAGTTTTATTTGCCATTTGCAGTAAAAAAACCACATTGGAATACATTAGCAAAAAGTGTTGAGATACACTGCCAAGAGGATGGTCCATATGTATCCACTGACTTTTCTTTATCTTTCCTCAGGGCCTTTTATCTACTCTGATATTCTGGACTACAAAAACTTACGTGAAATAGTGGTAAACAACCGCATCACGTGGCTGGTTCACTACAGCGCTTTGCTCAGTGCTGTGGGGGAGGCCAATGTGGCTTTGGCTCGTTCCGTCAACATCACTGGTGAGTAGAAAGAAATTGATTAAATATTCTCAAATTACTTGTATTTTCCCATCTTTCATTTAAAAATATTATTGTTATTTTAGGCCTGCACAACATTTTGGATATTGCAGCGGAACATGGCCTGCGCCTCTTTGTGCCTAGCACCATAGGAGCGTTTGGACCCACCTCCCCCCGCAACCCCACCCCTGACCTGTGTGTGCAGAGACCTCGCACCATCTATGGAGTCTCCAAAGTGCACGCTGAGCTCATGGGAGAGGTACAATTTTCATTCTGGTTCCATGTTTTGTAATTTTGTATATCTTACTATAGCTAAAATATGATCTTATTACAGTACTACCACCACCGCTATGGCCTGGACTTCCGTTGCCTACGTTACCCAGGGATCATCTCTGCCGACTCCATGCCTGGCGGAGGCACGACAGGTGAGATTCAAGACTCGTCTAGCCTCAAGCTGCAAGCTGTAATCTTCACAGTTGACTCTTCAAATAGTGATAAGGCTCCCTGGCCCTGATCAGTTGTTTTAAGTGTATAAGTAAATGGAATGTGTGATGCTACAGTCACACAGCCAAAACACATTTTTAATGGCTACAGTCATTAGCTCAAGCTCACCCAAAAAGCCATCTTTGATTTCAGTGGGCGCTATTTAAGAATCCAGGGCAAACCTTATTAGTGGTGTAATATATATCTGGCTTTATGCCAGGATGGACGTCTTATACTTATGCAGTGGGATTCTATTTTATTGGAAGTCTATTTTTGTTTTACTGTTGTTATGTCACAAGTTTATGTAATAGTCAGTAATCTATGGCATGTTTGTTCTAAGAGGTTTTTTTTTATGAATCTCTGTGCTGTTTCTATCCTTACGCTCTTGTTATTTTTGTCAGACTATGCCGTGCAGATTTTCCATGATGCAATCAAATCTGGAAAATTTGAGTGCAACCTGAGACCCGACACGCGTCTTCCTATGATGTACATTGACGACTGCCTCCGTGCAACACTGGAGGTCATGGAGGCTCCCGCCGACACGCTGAGCATGAGGACATACAACATAAACGCCATGAGCTTCACTCCAGAGGAGCTTTCTCAGGAGCTGCAGAAACAAATGCCAGACCTGGAGGTTACGTACGACGTGGACCTCGTACGGCAAGCGATTGGTGAGTGTTAACGAGTGAGGAAGTATTCAAACCTTCTCCTTTTTGCAGAACTGTAACAACACAATTGTCTTCTTCTCCCAGCTGACAGTTGGCCAATGGACTTTGACGACTCCAATGCACGAAAGGACTGGAGCTGGAAGCACGACTACGACCTGCCAGAGCTGGTGCAGACCATGCTCAATTTCTTTGAAGCAGAACGACGTATGTCTCATATCAACTGAGAGAAAAGTGCTCTTCTTGATTTGTACATATGTAAAGACTGACCAAAGAGAATAGATTAAATGGCCTGTTCATAGTGGTGCAACTACTTCTCTGCGTGCATCAGTAAGGGCTCCTGTCTGCTGCATCATCAGAATGTATTTGTCAAAAGGGTTGATTTAGTGTTTTGCACTCGTGTGTCTCGCTTCAAAGTGGGTGAGTCGAAAGCCTGTCTGTTAGCAGTCTTACCAGCTGTGTCTGTGTGGCCTGCAATACCAGATTTCTGTTTTGAAAAAGTATGAGAATGTTACTGGGCTAATCTGTAATTGAAAACAATCAAGAGTGCTATCATTCATTCCTAAAATTCTTGAATAGAAAATATAAATTGATGTGCAAACTGTTATGTCTGTCGCACTTTAGATCCTTTTGCAGCATCATGTTTCTGACAAACAAATCTCCTGCTTGGGCGTTTTCTAATGCAGTGCATCTGTATGTATGGGACATTTTCTCCTTTTTATTTCATGTTTTATTTATTCTGTCTGTCTGATACGTGTGGGGGAGTTTTAAAATTCCTTTCACTTTTGTTACTTTTTTCTTCTACGTTTATTTAGATGCAAAATGACCATGTGACCATAATGTTATTATATGATCAACCACTCCTCTGTCTGTCTTAAGCATTCAATGATAAGAATGTATTTAAGGTTTGGCATGTTTGGGATCGCAAGCTTTCACAATAAAACCTTTTGAACTACATGCCTGAAGCAGTGAGTCGATGAGGTGCATATTTTCACAGGCCAGCGCTTGTGTTTGCAATAGGTAAATACTTTTAGACACTATTTAAAATGGATAAGTAAACACAAATTATAAGTCAATATTAGAGAATAATTGTATAGTCGACTCTAAAATTGTGGTGGAGGGAAGTTAAAGGTTAATATGGTAAAAATCAAAAGTCAGACCTCTAGTCATTCCTCTTTCCTCATTTTGAGCAAAATACATAGCATCTACGCTATTTACTATCAAATAATGAGCAGGGAAAACACTTTTTTTTTCAACATGAATTTAAAACATTGCTTATTTCCCATAAAGTTTAATTGGCACATTCCCTCCAATTTAAAACATTCTACAATATGAAACCTAACACCTAATAATAATATTATGCTTATTTGAAAAGTTCATTTCATGCATTATGGGGATCAAACAAATAATCTATGAACATGCATTTAACAACATGAAAGCTTTTAAAAATCCATTGAAAATATGAAAATATTGGCAGTTCAGAGATGTGGGAAGTCTGGTATTTCACATACTTTAGGCCAAAGTGATACATTGCAGTGAACTGGAGAGTTGGAGGCAGAAGACATGCACAAACAAGGTCAACAGGTTTGGAGTATTTTCAGACGCAGGTATTCTGTGACTATGGGGTCTTTTTTTGGGATAGAAATGGGAAGGGGCAGCACAGAGTTAGAATGGATGTACTATAGACTTACACCTATCAATCAACACATTTAAAATGTGAATGTGATTTGTCGTATGTAAATCTTTAGCGAGCTGCTCGGAAGTGGGTGGTGTAATAACTGGTATTTCCTGAGGTTGTAGGCCCCTGGTGTGACTGACCTAAAATGTCAAGAGGTGAAATAGAAACGCTGAGTTAAGCAAATAAATATAAACAAACTGGCACAGCTCAGATTAGGTGAGCAGTGGGACAAAGCCACACACGTCAGCAGTGTCCAACCTTTGTTTATTTAGTTCAGTAACCGTTTCTAATTTAGACTAAAAAACCTACAGCTATGAAACAGTCATTTCAAAGTGAGCATGTGGCATCTCACATTATCCTCGATACTGGTCCTCCAATAATAATTCACTCTTAATAGTCAATTATATGTAATGCTTTCTCTTTTTCAAATAAAAAAGGTTATAACACGTTGAAGTCAATGACCACAGTAGTTTAGATAATATATAAATCTAAAGCTTTTGGTGTGGTCATCCTTTGAAGACTGCAGACCCCACTTTGGACAGCACTAATACAGAGAATAAGGAGAAAAGGCACATGTTTTTTATTTTTCTGTAGGATGTGGGAATTGTAATGTAAAAGATTTACAGTAATCACCAGAGCCTACATTCATTAAAGAAGAGAAGAGAACTGATCAAATCAGAACATGTAAGGAATATCTCTAGCCCTGTGTTTGTTGACATTTGGACTGCACTACCGGGTTTACGTCATCAGGTTACAAAACTCTTATGAAAAGAAAAGACATTCTTTATTTCAACTCTCAACTTTTTTACAGTTAGAAAAAAAAAAGTTTGAAATAAAATTACTTGAATATTACTAAAAATGTAATAACTGAAAAAAAAAAAGGGGGGGGGGGGGGGGGGGGGGGGTATTTTACTCATATTTCTACAGAACCAGGCAGGCTACATGCTTTTTCAATCCAGTTTTTCTTTTGAACAGACAGGAAGAGCATGTTTCTTAGCTAAATGTATTGTCTAAGTGAGGTAATATGGACCAGCGTGTGTCTGTGTGTTTGAGATACAGTATCGCTTGAGGCCTGGGGTGTATATCTTGGTACATGAGCATTCAATATTGGAGAATGTACCATGTGACAGGAATAACTCACACTCGCGTGTGTTTTGCTGTCAGGGCCCTCTTCTTATGTAACAATTTTCTTGGGCTCCCACCTTCAGCCAATCAGCGGCCTCACTGTAGGCCCCTATGTAAGCGTCTCAGACTCCCAGAACAAAAGTGTGACATATAGAGTCTGAATGGAGGAGGGGAGACTGTTTTGGCCACGCTCCAAGACACGGCCTAAAACTATGTTGCTACATAAGACCTCAGGACAGGCCCCTCCTTTTATTGAGCCCCAACTGCCCAGTCAAAACAGAACATTATGTGACTTTCTCCACAAGCGGGAACTTTTTTATGAAGTAGGAGGGAAATGTAATTTGAACCTCTACAAATGTGTTAAATTAAATACCTCCAGGAATGTTGCATATAGAAGAATAACATTTTTTACAGTGTGGCAAGAGTTCCTTCTTAATACTTGAAATATTGCATGTCTTAGCTAAGTTTGTATTGCTCATTTCTAATACTATAAGACAATCAATATCTGACCTTAAATAGCATCTTTCAAGAAGATGCCCAGTCATCTTCTTGTAAGACCTTCAGGAAAGGAAACATTCGCTGTTACTGATCCCTGTACAGTGACAGTTACGCAACTGTTTAATCCTATGATTAGTGACGAAACCTGAGAAGCAGACCCAGGATCAGATTAGTCCTGTACTGCTCCGACAAAAGGAATAATGAGGTCTGATTCATGAACAGGCAGTGGACACACTGGACGCCTGGCTCTAAGTGGATTAGTGCAATCAGGTCAAAACCAAAGCTCAAGTGAAAGTCCACTATGTTATCCGGATTGTTAGGGAAACCTCTCAAAAAGGCCTTCATTTACAAAAGAGTGCAATGGATTAATGATGGTGACATCAGAGGTGCTTCCTACCAGAATGAATCATACTTGTATTTGTTGTTTACAAACCAACATCATAGCAATGGTGATAAGAACAGAAAAAAACAGCCAAAAAAACTGTGGGAAAGTTTATGATTATTCATTATTCAAAAAGTTACGGCTTTGCTTTTCATTATGTATAATTAATGTACAACCTAAGGCTTGTTTTATTTCTGAATGCGAGTTTATATAGGCAAATGTGCTACCTTTGAGTGCCATTAGAGTGACCAAACACAGTTCATCAGGTTTCATCCTCCAGGGGCCATCACCTTGCATGGCCCTTGATCTGTTTTCCAGTTTCTTTTTTCAAACTATTGCACAAAATTAATGTTATATGCACTTCAAACTAAGATTGGGCACACTACTCTGGCAAACATGTATTAAACTAAAGCTTCTACAGAAAATGCAGTAGTAAGTCTCATTCATTTGGTAATCACTTTGTCGTTGCTAGGGAAGGTCTGCTGTCCAAGTCCAAGCAGAGCTAAAAATATAAACACTTATTCAGAAGGGAGAAATCCTATTTTAGTGTAATCTGTCGTATGCACACGCAATAGCAGCAAGATATAGTTTAACATGGTAGGATGTAACACAATGTTTTAGGAGCTATGCATGATTGCTTGTTATACTATTTGGCATTTGTTATTATTGGTGTAATAAGTGCATACGTGTCAACCCCGTTCAAATTTTACAATTTAATTGAGATAATTACATTATTAGGCTTTACTGAACCCACCCTGCAGCATTCACAGGAGTTTGAGGAACCAGCTGGAAGGTCAATGATCTTACCATGGATCTATTATAATAACAACTTACTTAAGGGGCGTTCACACCGGACTTAACTTCGGCGTCAATAGCGTCAGGTTTCCATTGAAAGTGAATGGTGAAGCGCGTCAGGTGAAGCCGAGAGCCCCGGCGTCACTTGACGCGCGTCAGTCACACAAAGATGAGACATGTGCGCCCTCTGCTGGATGAACTGGAAACGGCTGTAGTTATTTATTTATTTTAATGATCCCTCAACTATAAACAAATATATAGGTGAATAATAAGTGAAAATAACCCATTTAAGTAACATTACTTCGCTTCTTTTTTATATTGTTACATTTTACAACCAAAACATAATACTTTGTTCTGGCATATTTTTGGACAGCCTTTTCGCTTCAATGTTAGGACCCCAGGATGTCTATGCTCGCTGAACGTAAGATAACTTTATTTAACATATTTAACTATTCTCACGGCTAAAATGATTAACATGTCATAATAAATCATTCGGACAAGTTGTACCTGACAGTGCTTCTTACTGTAATCCGTTAGCAGTAATGTCTTTGTTAGTTAAAATGGCATTAGCTAGCCGCTCATGTGTGTACACGTGTTAGCTTTTACATGTCCCACATGTGTTTATGATCATGTTTGTGTCTTTGCTGGTTGACTATAATATTCTGGCATGATAATTCTGTCCTGTCTCAATCATAATGGTCCTGCCCCAATAAGTGTGGTTCCTGATCGTAAATCTGTGATTTCTGCAAACCTGCCATTTCATACATTTCTCGAATATTGTTTCCACCATTGTCCAGCCCGGAAGAAACAGAAGTGGTCCATTGACCCGAGGAACAGTGCTTGGAGCAAAGATGACAACAAGTTTGGTCAGAAGATGCTGGAGCGAATGGGCTGGTCCAAGGGAAAGGTGATTTTATCTGACATCTGTACTAACACAGATACTAAGTACAACATTGTGTATATTTGACTGAAATAATATTTTCTACATTACAGTGTGTTTCATTTCTAACCCTAACTCTGAAAAACGCAGTGTTGTCAGTATGTCGCTTGTCCCACGATTTAACCTTTAGTTTTGCCTAGAATCATAAACTTAAATGTACTGAAGAAAATCAGACTCAGACCAAACGGGATCCTGTGCATCATGGCGTGGTTGTTTATTCATAAAATGACTGTTGATTCAGTTCATTCAGTTTGGTCAGTTTTTTCAGACAGAACATATTTAGGGTATGGTTAATATAGTCAATGTTTACGTCACACATACGTCCTAAATGGATAAGCATTCGTGTCATATCAAGAGAACAATCAGAACATAACAAGACATCGAAAGAACAGAACACGCACACACAATCATCACAGATACACAATCGGGTCGTTGTCCTAAGGCCAGATCACTATAGCTATCTAATTACCACAGTATGTCATTTATAAGTGACATAATGTAACACTTTCTATGTGAGTGTGGATGTTGCCCATCACACAGAAGCATTGTTTGTCAAACATGTTTGTGTATTTTAGGGTCTGGGGAGAAGTGAGCAAGGAGCCACAGAACACGTCAAAGTCAAAGTCAAAAATAACAGCTATGGCCTTGGAACTAATGTCAGTCATGAGGTAATTTATTTAACAAATGTCAAATATCAATATTATAACTTTTGGCCAATGAGATTTAGATTCTAGGTTTTAGCAAGATGACTCAAAGTTGTTGGCATAATTAAATGTCTTTCGTGATCTATGTCATTATGCAAATGTCTGTTTATTTTATTATTATTCTCACATGAGAGTGTACATTATTATGTGTTTAAGACAATGTTTTGGATAAACCTTGATTTTATGAAACACTAACACTTGTTTTTGTTTATGATAGTGATGGTATCTTAGTGGTTGTGTGATCTGTGTTGACTTTGAATGTGTGTGTTGACAGGATAACTGGATTGCCCACCAGGATGATTTCAATGATCTTTTGGCTCAGCTGAACGCATGTCATGGTCAAAACGAAAATAATGGTATAGTACCGCCATGTTTAATTTGTATTTTCCCAGTAGAGGGCGCCAGTAGCACAAACTATAATATCGCTGCATCTGAATTCATCAAACATGTTTCCTTACTTGTGTTTTAAAATTGAGTTTTTTTGAGACTGGATGAACTCCGGTTTGGATAGATTTAACAATCTTAATTTGTTGTGTAATAAATATAGTAATGAATATATAATAGAATAATTGATGTAAAATGAGAATGAATATAAGTAATTGTGTGTATTTTATGTTTTGTTTTTTTAGAATCTCCTCCACCTCCAGAGGAGCAGAAAGGATTTAGTCTGGAAGAAAAGTCCAAAACTGCCAGAAAGAGGGTCCATTACATGAAGTTCACTAAAGGTGAGTTGACTTAGTGCATGAGTTATAAGCAATTCATGACTTCTCCCCAAAATGTTTAATTAGCAGTCAAAGTAACTAGTCAATTACACAAAATACGTTTTTTCCCCTTTGCTCAAATTTAAACTGTCACGTGACATTGTTTAAATAATGAGTGTCTTTGCTTCTGTCTCAATGTATTTTCATCCCAAAACACAATTGAAAAGTGGTCAGATCAATCAGTACTTAAAATAATAACGTGATTGGAGAACGTGATTCATTTGATTACTCTGTTACTGGAAAAACCGTTAACCTTAAACACCATTTCTATTACACTGCTCTTTCCAGACAGAATCTACCCTGATTTCAGATTAGCACAGTTATTCTTGAGTGCAGACACACTCTTTATCACATCATATTCAAAGCCTTGGCGCTGACCGCAGACTTTGCCAGCTTGTGTCGGGTCAGGGAGCCCAGTCAGTGCCAGGGAGTCGTCTTGTATTTTCATTACTTTACAAGGCAGGAAGTCGAAATTTGGTGGTCAAGGCCAGTGTGTTGACAGATAACTGGAGGAATTTTGTGTTAAGCCACCAAACCTATTTTTAATTAAATGATGTGCTGAATTTTTGTTCAGTCATAGCAATTATTACCCCGCGAGACTCCCTTCAAATTATACACATATATTTTTTCATTGTCTCAAATCAGCTAATAATTATTGCAGTAAAATGTATAATCCTGCACCATTGGTTGTTATGTCTTTTGTACAGACGCATTGCTAATTAAAGCAAACTGGATCTTAAATTTAGACCTTTAACCGCTCAAGGTGTCTTTAGGATTATTTCAGTCCCATTTATAGAACTCATCCCTGGGTGGCTCAAGACAAAAGAGTCAAACAATCCTTAACTCTGATGTTGTTGCTGTAATTCAATATATAATCTGTTTGCTTTATCTGGCACATAATTATACACCCTTGCTCAATGCGTTTGCAACTCAATCCTACTTAAACCTGTCACTCGTGTCTGTTTCCATGTCATTTTACAATAGTGATGCATTTCAGTTAGTCCGTAGCAAACCGGTTTTCCCATTTATTAAATGATAGCTTCTGCTGCAAATGTTTTTCAAGTACGACTTTTGAAGTGTTGAACATGTGAATGACTGTTTCCATATTGAAGACATCAGAATAAAGCTGGCATCATTGTCCGGCCTGTGCAGTGGGTTGGCATGGCGACCAAAGCGTTTGGCTGTTTGCATGTTTCCAGTGAGTGATCAGATGTCTACTCCTCTCTTTGCGGCCGTTGCCAAGTTAGGCCTGGTTATGGCATTATCGTTAATCTTGTCATTTGAGATGTTAAGAATGTTAAACTTTAAAAGGTGCCAGCTTTCATGCCTGGTTTTGGTTTAATCTCAAAAGTTGTTAAAGATACATTCAGTGCTTTACTGGGCACATCAAATTAAAATGGTTGGCGTCTTCAAAAGCAGCGTTAATAACCTGACATCCCCTAGCAGTGCTCCTGGTCTGAACAAGCAGGTCAAGACTGAGGCGCTCCTGCTTGGTTGAAATGAAAACCTGAATCTTAACACTAAACTGAAAAATTTTATTGACCATTTCTCTGGAGAAATGTGTTGTACAACAGAGAGTCACATTGAGCACCAAAGATAAGGGCCGAGCCACAAAACGGCAATCTTGACGTTTCAATTTTTATTTCATTCAAAAGGCCAAAAAAAAATCCTTGTGATCTTTCTACTTTGTCAACATGGGGTATTTCAAGTAAATTGGTTTAGCTTCTGTCACATCTATGGATTAGCTTTCTCAGTTAAAAGGGAGTACCAGCCCTCACATAGAGGTGTTGGAAGTTGGACTCAGAATCACCTGTATTTATTCCACGGTAATTGGAACAGATTATTTAAAAAATTTGTTTCATTTATGTGCTGCCTGGTACCAATGTGCACCGGTCCGCGGCCTTGTGTTTGGCTTCCACTGCTGTAAACCACTTCAGCTTAATATGACTATGTTCAAGTTGGTTTTCTGTGCACTGGTCGGTTGTGTACTTGAAAACTTTTTATCGATGTCCTCCTCAGAGCTGCGTATAGTGGCAGAACTGAGGATTGATTGTCTTTGTTTGTGGAGAAAAGCTCCAAAATCTCCCCTGCATTGGAGTTGAGCTGTGCCAGAAACCAGTAACCCACATTTAATTGCTGCTTCCATTTATCATCTGTCACAGTAGCCAAGGAAGAAAATGCTGAAACTAACAAGTCTATGTCATGCGTGGTTGTGATTGGCCTGGCTCTGGTCATTTTCTTTTCCTTTTTTTTAAGGGAAAAATCATTATGGTTCATCAAGTTAGCTTTTCAGTGGTAAAACAATATTGGATGAATACAGTAAATTACTTTCAATCACTATAGCCCATCAAGACTTTGTTACAGCTACATTATTTAATTCTTGGTGTGTAATCCTACTGCTTGGTGTTTATTTTTTTGGCCATTTAAAGATATGAGACATTGTCATTGTAAGTGGGAAACAAGTATGAAGGGTAACAAACACGTGTATGCCATCACTACACTAGAGAAAGGAGTTGAATATTTGTTTTTCTTCCAAATTTGAAAACCCTGCATGCATCCCTATGGTTGTACATAATACAAAGCTCTTAATTTCATTTACAAAGTTGTCCAAAAACATATGTTGAATTATTGTAGGCAGAAAAGCGTGATGTCATAGTGGTAGTGTGTGATATCATACTTTTACAGGACTGGGATGGGAGCTTTTAGACAGAAGGGATGGAGCTGCACGTTTGTGTCTAAAGTTACTGATTTTAGCGTGGATGGATCTTAAAACCACTCCAACTGTTTTTGATGAAGAAACAATTGTGTGTAACCTGATTTAAAAACTCAAGCTTTCATAATGTCTTTAATAAATAAATAAAATGGGGATCTCATTTGGATGCAAGCTGGCATTATGCTTTTGAGAACTTTCTTTTGAGGTGTGTGTATAGACTGGTTAACTTTAATATTATTTGACAATTTTTCCTATAGTTTTATCCCTAGTTTGAACCAAAATGCTGTGTTTACATAAGGGCATTTCCTCGTCTGAAAGGGGAAAGTCTCACTTGTTTTTGTCAAAAAGGTCAGTGATAAACATACCAGTTCTCCAGACGTTTTGGTTTTCAGCATATTTCTGTTTTTATTTCTTGGACATGTCTTGGGAGTGTCTTTCAAAGCCAGGACATGGGGGGGTGGAGATTTTAAAGCAATAAATAAGCAAATGTTATCAGAGTCGTGCTGAAGGAAGAGGATGCAGCTGTTTGAACAGGTCTAGGCTGTAGTCTGAGGCCAGTGGTCTTCAGGAGTCTTTGAGCCCTGTCCTGAAAGTGGGACTCCGGAGGTGTGGAATGGCAGGGCGAGCCACTAGTTTATTTTCTCTATCGTTTTTGTTCTGGAGCAAGACATCTCCTTATATTTGCACACTTTGAAGTCAATAGTGTTAAACCCTTTAAAAATGGTTCCTATGCATCCAACATCAAATACACAGTGCATTCTACTGGAAATACCCCAAGTAGACAAAGGGGTGAAAGATCTGTAGGGATTATTTGCCATTTGATTGATATGTTTATGTATTTTCACACCATTTAATACTTTGTTGAGGCACATACGGCAGCAAGTACAGTTAAAAGTCGTCTTGTGTATGATGCTACAAACTTGGAAAATGAGTTTTTTTACCACTCCGACAGTAGAGTCGTGGATCACACTCATGCCTCTCAGCAAAAATATCCTAGGGTCCTTTCTGAGCCGTCTGACCCCTGATTTCGCGGTGTGCACGTGTAAAGTTAAATTCCATATTTATTGTGTTATTATTATTATTTTTTTATTCTTTAGGAAAAGACCTTTCATCCAGAAGTGAAAAAGATCTCAACTGTATTTTTGGAAAAAGGGGTCGGTCCACCAAGGAACAAGATCAGGTAAGGTGTCAACTCGACTTGTGTGACATAAATGTAGCTCAATAATGTTCTTTTGTAGCTGAAAGAACCACTTCTCTGTGACAATTAATCTCAATCTATATTGTCTGATTTCTAAGAAATGTTTGGTTCATTGTAAATGACATATCAGCTTTCTGTGGAACCGTTTCTGTCATGGAAACATAGAATAAAATAGTTTGCATTACCGAAAACGTATAAATCTGATGCTTGTAGCAATTGTTCTTGTTGCACATTTCTGAAGCAGGCTTTGATCAGGCTCTGTGTTCTGGCTTGTGTCAGTCCTGGTAATGAGTGTCACTAGTGCTGACGCTGCCATCACTCTAGTTTCTCAGGCTCTGGCCACACACTGGCCTATGGCTCCAGATTAGCCTTGTCACAGTGTGCGGCTTCTAAACATTGCCAACAGGCCACTGATGATGGCAGGAGCATCTAAATCCAGTTAAAGGATTTGGCCCCTTCTACACCCTGGGTCTTTGCTCTCTTCTGCCTGTGAGCGCGCACATCAGGAAGTTTAGTCTGCCTTCAGGTATAACCAAGGCAAGTTAAAATTGTAGATGTTGTGAAAAAGTAAAATGGTGACTCTTCCAAAAAGTTCTTTACTTTATAGCCAGTCAATTTAGAACACCTTATTGTCACTGTAATTATCTAAAAGTCTTATTTTGTCATGAATGTAAGGTGAGAGGTTATTTTTCAGTCAGAATGATCACCACTGACCATTTCACACACAGTGCACAGACATATTCTGCACAATGACTATTTAGAGGCTGGATCAGGGCCGTGTCCTATTAAAGGTGACAGGGTGAGGTGCTGTGGGTGGTTTGCTATTGTGCAATTGAATCCGGGAAAAGTATACAGCCTTCTGAGTGCACTTTTTGTGCTTTTGAGTATTTTATATTTTTATCTTCTAAATAAAAAATATCCATTGACAGCCATTAAAACTCAATTTGCTATCATACAAAGTACATAACTGCTTAGTGCTAATCATTTTTGTCGAACGCTCACACCTAACTACTGCCTACTTTGACACTCTTATTTCTTTTGAGCATATGCTGTCAAAAAGCGTTGAGCAGCAGTTACATTTGCATACGGGATTTGAACCTTTGTGTTAGGGATGTAAATAACTATGAATTTTCATGACCGACCACCGAGCCTCATTAACCGGTTGAAACCGGTTAACCGCGTAGTTAAAAATATTCCACGTTCTTTGAAATAACAGCCATTTAGAGCCATTTTCATAAGTGCAGCTCTGCGTTCTACTGGATCAGAGCCGAGACAGCGGCGCCAAAACCCGCAACAACTTTGGTACCTTTGCGCACAGAGAACTGCTTTTTTAATCTTTCCATACTTCTGTGCTGCTGGTTAACAGTTTTTAGCAGCAAACAACGGCTCGTTCACATGGTCAGAGCAGCGAGTGACGAGCCGCGTCTCGCAGATCTCCGCTAAAGTTTAAATAAAGTGATGTGTGTGGAGCTGATCTAATGCCAAGGACCAGCAGCACAAACATGTTCCATGTGATTTGACTGGAGCCGCGTATTTGGATACTTTGGGCTGCGTGACACAGAGGAGCGCGACAGACCGGTATGTGTGTGTGTATATGTATGTATGTGTGTGTAATTGTAAGCTCCAATGTAGTTCTAACCCGCGCTAGTGTGCAACTTTGGCGGACAGAGGGGAGAGATGATGCGTGTGGATGTTACGTATCATTGGAGGGGGGAAAGTGTGTGTGTGTGCACACACGGCATGAGAGTCGGCCTGGAGTTTACTGACACATTGGCGCACACAGCTAGAGACAGACCCGCTCGCCACACCGTGCAAATACGGCTTAAAATAACGTTATTAAGAGACCTCCTCCTCCCCCTTTTCTTTTTTTTAACCGACAGCTTTGACCGGTTAACGCTGTGACGGTCAACCACCGGTTAAATGGTCACCGATTTACATCCCTACTTTGTGTAAACGCCGCTGAGGTCGGGTCCCTGTCTGAGAAACCCTGGCCTGTGATTGGAGAAGCAGCTTCACACCTGACCGATCATGTTTTTCCCAACCTGTCTCCTCTCTCCCTTATTATAATTTTCAATTTAGGTCTGGATGTTCACTGGGCTATTCTAACTCTTTAACTATTCCATTGTAGCTCTAGCTTTATGTTTAGTGCCATTGTCCTGCAGAAAAGTAACTCTTTGTCCGAGGTTTTTGTTTTTGCTAACTCCAAGTTTTCTTCTAAAATGACCCTATATTTGGTTCCATCCATCTTCCCATCTGTTTGCTGGTTAAATTGGACGATTTCACCAATATTTGCATGGGTTATTCTTTATTATAAGAAGTTTCTGTCACCTCTTGGCTGCCCACTTTAGCTCAGTCAACATAGACTTTTATACTATTTTAAAGCTTTGATTCAACAGAATTCTATTACATCTATTATTGATGACTAAAAAGTTCTAAGCACAGATCATACGCAAGACCAAAGTAGCCTTTGAGACTATAAACAAGTTAACAAAGTCTTCCAGTCCAATTTAGATCCTTCCAATGTGGTTTTACTGCAAATGGCAAATTAATTGATCTGAATCTGAATTGGTAATGATGCTCCCCCCACTACATGACACAGTGTATGATGAGCAGTGTTGGTTTTGCACCATTACTTAAACATTTTGCTTTTTACTCACAAACTTCCATTATAGTCTCATGTGACCAAAGCACCTACTGTCATGTTAGCTCTGTCTTCCATATGATTTCTGACAAGCTGTGATCGGTTTATCTTGATGCTTCAACAATGACTTACTTATTGCCACTCGTGCATATAGGCAAGATTAGTGTAGATAATGACGAGTATTTGCCCCATGTACATATTCCCCTAGTTCTGCTAATGTGCTTTCAATTTCTCCACAACTTAACCCCTCACATCTCACAGATGTTTGTGGTCATAAACATGGCATGTGCAAAAGTTCAGTGCCGTTTCTCATCTCTTCTTGTGAACATTTGTATATTCCTTTTTCAAAAACCTATCTTTCTATATAAACCCCATATTGAAGGTAGAAATTAATTGTTTGAAATATCAAATGTGTTGTTGAACATTTCTTTACAATGAAAAAAAACTTATTTACAATGTGTCCGATGAGGGTTATAGTGTTGTGGTGGAGCACATGTCCATCTACAGGCTAGGGTGCGATTCATCACACGTCCCACGCTTGTGAACCTCCTCCTTCTCCTGCCTCCTCTTGTGTCCCTCAACACAATTACTCACAGCATGACAAACGACAGGCCTTCTCTGCTGTGATATCAAAAAGCCTCGGCCACTTCTAAATGAAGGCTTTTTGGCAGCCCTGTGCTCCCAGTGCTTATCGGCGGGCGAGCAGTGCCCCTGGCCGTGCTATGTCCTCCTCCTGTGCCCTCCTCGGGGGGTTTAGTTAAGGGAGGCGTTCACAGGGCCAGCCCTGCTTGATTTATCTCCCCTGCCCCTCTGCCCGGCCACTCAGGCAGGCTGAAAGAGCCGACGAGGCTCCAACGGGCCTCCACTGGAAAGCCCAGCATTAGCTGAAATAAACCATTCTGCCGCCCAGTGAAAAATGTCCTCTGATTGGCTAATTAATCAGTCAAAGGGGAGCGACGCGACTTGTGACTTAAGGGACCAAAGCGGGCGACCACAGAGGGCCGGCTGATAAATAGACTCCCCGCCGATTCATATATCAACAAAAGTTGGCCATTTTTTAAAGCTGCCGGCTCAGATGAAAGGTAGAAACAAGGCACACTTACATCTCCTCACCTACATTTCTCACTAGCTTTGTTTATTATATATATATAATAAATTTATATATATATATATATAAACATGAAATTTTACACACACACATATTGAAAATTAATAAGATTAACAAATAATTAACTATTTTCTGATTATTTTTCTCAAATGCTTGGTATGTCAAATTTCTTCACAATGTGCGTTGTTTTGGTTCTCATTGCTCCAGTCACTGAGTTGATTTGGTGCGCTTACAGTCCTGGGTCGGCCTGACCCCTGCGGCCTCTCCCACTCCCACTCTCGTTGCACACAAAGGCCTTAGGATTAAGCCTCATCGGGTGGCACCTGTTGAAGGTTTCCCAACCCACGCGCCGTCCACATGAAGAATCACACGTCAGCCAGACTCCCCAGACACCTCCAGCCTGAAGTGTGGCTCTGCGCTGGGCTGTGGCCATGTGGTAGATGTGGCCATTTGGAGACAGTCGGCCAAAACGTCAAGAAGTTTGCTGATGATGCAGCATCAAGTTTTATGAAAAAAAATAATCTTATTTGATATTTCAGTTGATTACCAATTAAGTTTTGAGTTTTGAAAACGAACCCTAGTTCTTAATGATATTTGTTTTAGTCAATGTTGGCCTGCATTATAGCACTGTAGCTTGATCAGATGACCTCTAAATGCTTTAAATGCAATCTTTCAGTCAAGTCTTTTTGTTGACAGGCATTTTTTACTGGTATTGCCAAGAATATCAGCAGCAGCAGCAGCATAGTCTCCCAACAATAGCTTATATGGCTCTACAAATGACCACTAGATCGAGCAGATAAGAGAGGGTGTAAAAGGCTCTTAGCTACGTGCCTATGCTGGAATACACAGAGTTGTGGCAATTACTGCAAGGTGCAGTTAACCGTCTACTGTTGCAGCCCTCTTGAATGTTTACATCCCACCCATAGCATTTAATCATGGACTTAGATAAATCACAACCAAAAAAAATATAGGTGCACCCCGTCTCGGGTTTGGCCGGGGGAGGCACTTTCAGGCGGCTTTGTCTGCAAACGTTTGCAATGTTGAACAAGGATTGGGCAGCCGCACTGCATGCATAATGCTTTCATTTGTTCTTTTATGATAAACGTTCTCACGCGGGACACAAAATGTAATTTTTCAAACTCATTTTTCTGGCTCTTACTCGTTCTGCACCAAACACCTGCAAAGTTAGAAGAGCAGTGTGACTAGACTACAAGCTTCTTGTGGGGCAGTATA